AACTCTAGCCGAACATGCACGTCTGTGCCAGCATTTGTGTGAAACAGAAGCAGTTTGATGTTAAGTGCAGTCACACACACAGATCACGCTGCGGCCGAACTCAGACATTCAGGAACAAACTTTTTAGCGCTGCCCCGCAGTTTTATCAACTAAATAGCTTAATCGCTCAAGAGCTACATTATCTTTCTCAACAAGGAGCTGGTAGCATCATTGTTTCTAAAGGAATTAAAGCCACAGCTTTACTGTTAATAGAGAAACGCGGCAAAACGGTGGCAATTCATACATATACAGCCTCTCTCTCTCTCTCTGTGTGTGTGTCGTAAATTAACAGTTGATGAATTACACTTTTCTGAGAATAGATTATTGAAGTGGAGATCGCTAAACTGCAAGCTAACCAGTGTTTTCAGAAAGCAAGCGCGTTTATCCTCAGTGGCGAGAGAGCGCGTGTGCACAGGGTTGTCAGGTTGATAAAGATAAGTAGCACACTTAGCAGATATTTCCGTATTGCACAAGTGTAAAGCTCTGTTTCGGGGATTACGTCTCTTTATATCAGGCAACCCAGTTGTGTTCCTCTGCGGCCAGATTAAACCTTGTTGTAGCCTATATATGCTCTATTCATTCTTTTTTAGAAACCTCGCACTTTTCTACTCCATTTTAAACATTGTAAAATTTTAAACAAATTAAGCGCGGTCCACTGCTGCACACGTGCCACAATATCGATACAGGGCCAGCTGTATCGATACTCGTATCGTCAAATATCTGTGACGATACATCGTCGTATCGATATTTTGAACACAGCACTAGTGTTCACGAGGGAATGCTGGGAATGCCATGGCAGTTGTGGATTGCTTGTATTCATGAGGGAATGCTGGGATTTTGCTGGCTGTTATTGATTATATGTGTACATGTAGGAACTGAAAGAGGACTATCAGGTTCTCCTAGAGACCAAGAGCATGCTGGAGGATCAGCTGGAGTCATTCAGAGCTCGATCTGATAAACATCATGAGCTGGAGAAGGAAAATCTGCAGCTTAAAAACAAGGTCCATGACATGGAGATGGTGAGAGCACAGAGCGATCAAATGTTTAGTCCATTAATACAACACTATATACAGGGGTGCACATACGTTTTTCAGCCTGGTTTTCATATGAGAACCTGGAGATTTGGTTTGGTCCTCACACAGCGGCACATCGTGTGACCCATCAAATATAACTATAAAAAATAAATTAATAATAGTGATAATATTATTGCACTTTATCATAAACTAAATAATAAAGTGTGATAATACTATTTTGTTTTAAAATAAAAAAGGGAGTATTAAATACAAATACAATTATTTTATAGTAAACTTAAAAATAAAATGCTAATATTTTTATTATTATTATTTTAATTTGAACCCCTGCGCACCCCTGACTATATAGCACCTCATTAGTTTCCTCTCTCTTATCTGTCCTGTCTAATGATAAATGATTTTCATTTTCATCTTTTTCTTATTATTTCTTTTACATTAAGGTCAAGATTTTTCAAGATATTTCAACTTATTTAAAGTATTATATAAAATTAATAATAGTTTTATTTAAGCGGTGTTGTTCATCTGTTATGAATTATATTCAGGTTGAATTGTGTGATATATCTAGACAGACTGGGGATGCTGACAGATGCTGCTGTGTTTCAGGAGCGAGACATGGACCGGAAGCGCTTGGAGGAGCTGCTGGAGGAGAACCTGATGCTAGCGGTGGCCCAGAAACAGAGCATGGACGAGTCTCTGCATCTGGGCTGGGAACTGGAGCAGCTCTCCAAGACCACTCCCGAGCTCACTGAAGGTACGAGACATATGTGTGTATGTGGAGCACATTTCAGGATAGATCCCAGATTATTATGATGCTTTGCCAAGATGGTGAAGTGACCCAAATACAGGATGTTTTCTAAACGAGAGGCTGGTGTCCGTGGGCTGTGAGCGTGACTCTGAGAGATGTTGTGTGTTGTGAGCGCAGTGCCGCAGAAGTCTCTGGGTCACGAGGTGAATGAGCTGACGTCCAGTCAGCTGCTGAAGCTGGAGAAGGAGAATCAGATGCTGCTGAAGAGTGTGGAGGAGCTGAAGGCCTCCGGTGAGAGCGGCGCGCACCTCCGTCTGGAGAAACACAACCAGAAACTCAGCCAGCAGGTCAGAGTTCACACGCTTCTCAGCACAGTTCTCATATTTAAAAGCATAATGTTTATTTGTGAGACTTGACTTTAAAGAATGATGAGTCAAAAGTGTTTCTATATTACAGTTTTTTTCAACAGCTTCACAAATCCAAGAACTACACTCACAAAATGCAAAATGCCTCACATTTCTTGCAAAATGTAGCACTGCATTCAAAATATCACAAACACATCTCAAAAGCAAACATTTGCAAACAGCTTTGCCATAATATTAATTATTATTAGTTCACAATGAGACCAGGATTAGTAGTAAGGAAGTCCATTCTGGTGTGGCTTTACTAAGCTGTGAATAAATTCTGTTCCTCACACAAAGAAAGGAGAACAGTTTGAACAGAATGGGTTAAAATGCTGCGTGGTCTTAACGGAAACCGAGCTCTCAGAGCAGGATAATATTCATCAGTGAGCAATCCGAGTTTAAATCTGATTTGTGTTCAGTTAAGCTGCTTCCAGAGCATTAGCCGCTCATACGAGTTTGATTGCTCATTATGAGCGTGTCCATATGGCAGATGAGTGTCACACTGGCAGCTGATGAGAATGTGATGAGTGTATGAAGCGGTGTGTGTTTGCGCAGCTGGAGCAGCTGCAGGCGGAGCTGGCTGCAGACAGAGAGAGTCTGCGCAGCGCTGAGAGTCTGAGCGCAGACCTGCTGAAGGAGAAGGCGCAGCTGGAGAAAACCCTGGAGACGCTCCAGCAGAACTCCGACAGACAGGTACACCGCACTCTCAGTGGACAAGATCTGCAGAGCGAGTACTAAGGCGTAATGCTGCTGAGACATACACAGACATGCTGCAGCAAGCATGTGAAACACACATAAATCCCTCCACAAACGCAAAACACGAGCCCCCAATAATGCTGATCTACCACTAAAACTAAGGACATGTGTGCCTGAGCCGTTTTGCCTAAGGCTTTCACATTTAGAAACACACCTCTGTGTGTGCCGTTAAGACGGGATGCCTTGTAGCATACTGTTTAGTGAACTGCTTACCGCAACACTGAAGCAAGACTTTAAATGTTAGCGGCACAGAGAGCATGAATGCTCATTGGCTGACAATTACCAGTAGAGGACCTACTGTATTGGTTCATGCTGGCGGATCATTACTCTATACTCCATAGTTTCAGCACTGAACTTCAAAGCATTATCTTAACACACTTTAAAACTTTCAGTGTAACAGTTTTCTACAGAAAAAAAAAAACCTTTGAGTAGGGCTGGGCAATATGGCAAAAAAAATTAGATCTCGATTTTTTCAGAACATTTGACCGTTTCTCAATTTTTAAGATTTTTAACTAATCAGCTTGAAAATGTAACTACAACATAATTCAAGTAACTTTTTCTTTATTAACCCTCTAGTTAAAGATTCTATTCCAAGTGCAGCACACATGAAGTTGTCAACATGATGTAAATGTTAAACAAATCACTTGTTTGGCAGAAAAGATGAACTACAACTACATCTTGTACAAACTTGTCTTATACATATTATATGTTCAGAAATCATACGAGTTAAATGCTTCTAAAAAAATTCTCAAAAGTCAAGGTAATTCAAATTCACAATGACTGAAGGTATAACACCAGTAGACTGTTATTAGCTATAAATGTTCTGTAAAAACAACAGCTTTCCATGACGCAAACATGAAATATCAGACATACAGTAGTAGTTCTTCACAGGTTTTTTATTCGATTGCGCTGCTTTTCCATTGTTTTTTCTGTGTAAACATGGATGCGTTTTTAGGCATTCTAAAAATGCGGCGCTCAAGTTAAAAGAAGCTCACTCCTGTCTTCTTGCATTTTTCCTATTCCACTGCCCACGTTGTCAACACAAAAGCGCATTCTGTGTGAACTGCACCTAGCGATATATTCTACTTATGGTCCTTCACGGAGCGCCGACATGCACTCGGATCATTCTTTTCTCTTTACTGTTATCATTAGCATACTGTCACACTGTCTAATTCTAACGTTTGGTAATATTTCTATTCAAAATCACAGTTCCTCGATTTATAAAAAATAAAATCGTGGCAAAACGTTAAATTCTAATTAATTGATAAAATCGGAAAAATCACCCAGGCCTACCTTTGAGGTATAGTGCTGATGACACATACCAAGTTTTGTAATGATGCATTAAAGGGGTGGTTGATTGTGATTTCACTTTTTTAACGTTAGTTAGTGTGTAATGTTGCTGTTTGAGCATAAACAATATCTGCAAAGTTACGAAGCTGAAAGTTCAATGCAAATGGAGATATCGTCTTTTAAAATTCTGGCAGTTTAATGCCTACAAAAACGGCTGGTAGGGACTACAATGAGTTACTTCCCGGGTTCGTGACATCACAAACCCAGATAAACCCCGCCCTCGGGAAAAGGCAGCAAAGGGGGCGAGGCCATGCTGCGCTGCTTTAGAGAAGAGGAAGAGAAAACTAGAGGTGCTCGTAAAAATCTATTCATATATGATTTGCGATTCTGTCTTCTAACGATTCTAATGTATTCACAAGTTTCAAAATCAATGTTCTAAAGCAGCGGCTCTTAATACTGTTCCTCACGTCCCCCGGCTCTGCACACGCTCTACATCTCTCTCTCTCTCTCTCTCTCTCTCTCATTCAGCTCAGCTCCAACAATGAACTGTTCCAATTATACACTTATTTTCACATAGCTATGAGAAGCGTTAAACATGGACGTGCGTGCAGTTGCCGTACTTTATTAAAGCTTTAATCAGGATAAAACCGTATATTAACATAACATAACATAAGCAGTAGCAAATTTACAAATACCAGCATATCTAAAAGTATGAGACAACAACAAACAAAAAATCTAGGCCTATCATTAAAAGCCGTGCTTGCACAGGTTCAGCAAGATCCTCTTCAATAATATCCTCTGCGTCTCAACCGGGCTCAAACTGATAAGCGATATTAACGATGCCTTTGTTTACAATACAACCGGAGCACATGCCGCCGAGGTGAGGGGCGGGACGATTAGACGCGCACTAGAGGCGGTTTAGCCAATCACAACACACTGGGCTAGCTAACCAATAAGAGCCCATCACCTATTTCTGAGGGAGGGGCTTCATAAAAGCAGGAAATGATCAGCGTGTTTCTCAGAGAAGGGACGGCGGTGTGGAATAAAGGTAAATTATGTGAAAAATAATGATTTTTTTTAAAAACTAAGCATTAACACATGTTAGACTGCACCCCATAAACACAATCAAGCCTAGAAAAAGACCAGTGAACCACCTCTTTAATGCAATAATAAAATAGAGTATTTTATGACCAAATTCAATATGGCCGAGATGGGAAATTTAGGTATTGATGAACTCAGCATGCCACTGAATCCAACAAAACAAGGCTTCAGCACACTCTTCATCAAATTCGTTAGCAAGTTATTCAAGAACGGTTTAGCTAATCATCTTGAACTCCATGACTGGAAGATGAACCTGATCTGATTGGAGTTTCCTGAAAATTAAATGAATGATTTAGGACTTAAAGGTGTTTTAAGAAAATTCCAAACAGTGAGGGTTAAACTTAAACTGTCATGATTGTTCAGCTCTTACCTGACACACTGTGTCTGGTGGTGACGCAGGTCAAGGGTCTGGAACAGGAGAACGATCATCTGAACCAGACCATCGCCTCTCTCAGACAGCGCTCTCAGGTCAGCGCTGAGGCCCGCGTCAAAGACATCGAGAAAGAAAACCGCGTGCTGCACGAGTCCATCAAAGAGACCAGCAGCAAGCTCAACAAGATGGTGTTTGAGCGCAAACAGCTTCGCAAAGACCTGGAGCACTACAAAGAGAAAGGAGAAAGAGCCGAGGAGCTGGAGATGGAGGTCCATCGACTGGAGCGAGAGAAGGAGAATCTGCAGAAGCGTCTCGCTGCTCTCGCCATCACCTGCGGGAAGGTGGAGGTGCTAGGCCTCAATAAAGAGGGGCTTCTGGGTGATGAAGAGAGCTCTGATGACAGGTAATTCACTCATGGAATTAGAGATGGAACGATTACCGGTTTGACGATAAATCATGATGCAGTTCCCCACGGTTAGTATTACCGTTTCATATTTTGATTATCATTAAAACGTGTTCGATTACCATGATTTGAACAACTGAGGATAAATAAATACTGTCCAGCATAAAGAACAGTTTTAAGTAACAGTCACAGCACATAGAGTAGTTTCTTTTTGTGTGAAAACATGGCGGAAAAGCTGGGAGGTTTTAAAAGAGTGCTAAGGGAATTATACAAATTAATATATAAAAGAATTAATTATATGAATGTACCTCTGAAGATTCTGACTGTCTTCAGAAAAAGATGTAATCTGTAATCGCTCCATGTAATACCTAATAAAGCAATGCTGCTTTGTGCAGGAGGTTATGAGAAACAGCTGTAATTCTGCTGCTCCAGAAGCGCCACCTGCTGTCAGAGAGTGGAGTCACAGAGACTCACATTCACATTCAGTCTGTGTGCAGTTTCTGACTGGACTAAAAACAGACCGGGTTTACACGCCTTCTGTGAATTTTGATGAAAAACAAGCTTATGTGGATTCTACACATTTAAACAATTCGGATATTAATGCAGCAGATAAAATACATAATCATTTATTAATCAATTATCATTTTGACTTAACCCTTTTATTGAAAGGCTGAAATGTGAGGTTTACCATTTTATGGAACTTTTTAAAGCTTTATTCGAACATTTCGTACATGCTATTAGATAAACTGTTGTCAGTCATGCTGTGATTTAAAATCCGGACATCATTGGTAATGTCATTGTTTTAGTGTTTATGCAAACAAATATTATTTTATTTATTGTTTGTTGATTTTAAATATAAAACTTGGGGAAATGATTTACGTGTCAGTACTTTTTGAAAATTTTCAGCACATTTTAACAATACGGTGATAATACTGATAACCGTGATAATTTTGGTCACTATAATAGTGATAGGAAATATTCATACCGTTACATCTCTTCAGAAACTAGGGCTGCAACTATATGAATTTGCACGAATGCTGGAGTCATAATGTCACTTGTATAACAGTGTGTTTCTTGTTTGTCAGGTTTAAGCTTCTAGAGTGTAAACTGGAGTCCACTCTGAAGTCCTCTCTGGAGATCAAAGCGGAGAAGATCGCTGCTCTAGAAGCCCGACTGCAGGAGTCCTCCAACCTCAACCAGCAGCTACGACAGGAGCTCAAAACGGTTGGGCGTCAGGCTTTGTTTGGCTGGTTGGCAGTGACTTCAGATTGTGTTCATTAAGCCTCGTTTTGTCCACCCACAGGTGAAGAAGAACTACGAGGCCCTGCGCCAGCGTCAGGAGGAGGAGTGTTCGGCTCAGAGCTCGCCTGCTCGAGGACGGGAGGACACACAGAGCAAGTGGGAGAAGCAGAGTCAGGAGGCCACGCGAGAGCTTCTGAAGGTCAAAGACCGACTTATAGAGGTGGAGAGAAACGTGAGTACCAGCTCAGTGCTATCAGAATGTCTTTACGTTAGCACAGCAGCTGATATTGCTGATGTTTGTCCAGAACGCCACTCTCCACGCAGAGAAGCAGGCTCTACGGACGCAGCTGAAGCAGCTGGAGTCTCAGAGCGGGAATCTCCAGGCGCAGATATTAGCTCTTCAGAGACAGACTGCGTCTCTACAGGAGAACAACACCACACTACAAACACAGAATGCCAATCTACAGGTCAGAGTCGCTCTCCTCACACAGTTATCCAGTCCAGCGCTGCTGTAATGGTGTGTGCACTTAACACATAGCGAATATTTGCATCGTGTTAAGCCCGGCTCACACTGTGCAATTTTGGCCACGATTTGGTCGGCTGAGACAAATTTTGAAAATCCTAAAAGATTCCTGTAATCCTAGGCTACAATATGATCGCTGGTTTGACGTGTTCACCGACAGCCAATTAATGACCGTTGCGATCAAATTTGACCTCTGACGAACTTCTGGCAGTGTCAGAAGATTTGGCGCACAGTCCTGCAGTGTGACGCCTGCTACGACGAACGTCAAACTGTCTTTGTTTTTCAAGCGAAGCCATGATCAGAATTAATGCTAGAGATTTCTTCTAAACTCATAAACTTCGGCGCTCTCATCCTCCGCTCACGGGATTCATATCATGTTGCCTTTGCTATGATGAACACCGGTTGCGCTGCTGTTTTCATGTGGGTGTGTAGTGCTGCTTGCACTATTCTGCTGCCGGTATTGCTGCAATTCATGCACTTTTAATGATAGCCAACATTACAGCCCTGCGTGCAATGCAGCTCGCAGTCACTGAACGTGTATGGGTTGATAATGTAAAACTCCGGACAAGGTTTCTTGCGTGCACCCGTTTTTAACGCGTCTTGACTGTCGTACAGTCTGACATTAATGACAACTGAGATCCCACAGTGTGACATGATCATCATGTTCCTGCAGTCTGACAAGCAACAATCCTAAAGGACTATTAAAAATCATACAGTGTGCGCTCAGCTTTACTCACAAGAATAAAAACAATTAAAAAAACATTTTCTGATACAATCAGACGTGTCAATAAGCTCTCCACTAATTGGCTAGCGCGAAAACGCATCATGCAAATTTTCCGCTTGAGTTAAATTTTTGAACTCGCGGAAGATGCGTTTAAGGTGTATATCGCGTGTTTGTGGCAATCACTTCGCCTCCACAAATTTGCATCTTTGCATTAACTTTGTATGTAATCTACTTGTGCAAATCATTAAATTCGCTTTTGGTGTGAACACATAATTACAGAAAGGGTATGGTAGATATTTCTCCTCGTGAATGTAACAGGAGTTTGGTCGTAAAAGCTTTTCAGGCCCCTGAGAGTTGCACAAAACGATCTGCAACTCTTAAATCAATGCTATAACCCTGCCGTGTGCTCATTTACCAGAAGCGCACTTTGAGATAAACGAGTTTATGATGTGCTGGCAGGTGGAGAACTCGACGCTGAACTCTCGGAGCGCCGCTCTCATGTCCCAGAATGCTCAGCTGCAGACGCAGCAGTCCGGCACAGAGAGCGAGAGGGACGTGGCCATACGAGAGAAGGAGGAACTGCGCACGGTCTATGATCTGCTGCTGCACGACCACGAGAAGCTGTCTGCGTTGCACGAGAGACAGGCGTCGGAGTACGAGGATCTGATCGGCAAACACGGAGAGCTGAAGAGCGGCCACAAGAGCCTGGAGCTGCAGCACCGCAGCCTGGAGAACAGGTGCAGACAGCACGACCCTCACCATTCATTCAGCAATCACATATACATTCTTAGACAGTGGAGGACGTGTGAGTGTGTGTGTGTGTGTGTGTGTGTGTGTCATTCAGCAATCACATTTACATTCTTAAACAGTGGAGGACGTGTGTGTGTGTGTGTGTGCAGATACAATCAGCTGCTGAAGCAGAAGACCGAGCTGGAGCAGCTGGAGAGAGATCTCACAGCAGAGCGAGAGAAGATGATCTCTGACAGCAAGAGTCATCAGGACACAGCTACACAGTACCAGAGGCTCAGCGAGGAGCACCACATGTGAGTGTCAGGATGAGCGAGCGTCTGTCTTGACTGAGGCCCATCTCTCATGAGCGTCTCTCCTGTGTGCAGGTTGAGCTCCACACACCAGCAGCTCCTGAAGGACAATGAGCTTCTGCAGACAGATCATAAGACTCTTAAGAGTCAGCTGAACACGGCCCGGCTGGAGCAGACACGTCTGGAGGCCGAGTTCTCCAAACTCAAGGAACAGTACCAGCAGCTGGACATAACCTCCGCCAAACTCACCAACCAGTGCGAGGTACACGCTTCAGCATCTCACACGCCGTCAGGACTGCAGTTAGGGCCTACAGAACACTTAGGAACTTCTGCCTATGGTTATAACAAAAAAATACCACAACAAAAACAACTAGACAAATATAAATTACATTTTTTTTTTGATAAAGACAAATAAAGGGTCAGTGATAAAATAGGAACAAACAAATCAATTAGCAATAGCACAAATAAATATGACTAAATAAATTCCAGGTAAAGAAATTGAAATCAAAAGTTTAAAAACACTGCATAGTTTTCTTTTTATAAATAAAATATAGATGAATCCTCATTAAAGTTATTAAAGATATTCAGTCAAGATGAGTGAGTGATTTTCTTTTGTTCTTTGATTAACATGAATGACAGGCAGCGTGTTTATTAGGCTGCTGTCTCTTTAACACCGAACGCACGCAGATCTAAAAATACTGTACACGAGCGTTTTCTTTCTCATGTTTGTGTTCACTTCAGACAAAAACGGCTGTGTTTCTGATGATATACTGACGTAGTTTTCTGCACACTGGTCGATAAATATGAAAGAAGTCAGTTCCGGCTCGGAGCAAGCTTTCCTGCAGTGAACAGAACGAACGCTGTTCTCTGATCTCTGTGCTTCAGACATGTGTGCTGCATGCAAACAGAGCGCAAGTTCTTCCCTTCCTGCGCTTAAATCATTCAAAATCACATTAAAATGCCAACGCAGGAATCGTTAAGCGGGACTGAAATACGGACGTCTTATCGAACACCCGGTTCTTGGAAAATTAGAACCTGGTTCTCGATACCCCACCCTAATCATGTATGACTCTACACTTCCCAGTCTCACATCGGCATGTGAAGTTCTCATGTGCAAACTCGTGAGGTTTCAACACTCATGAATGTGGTGAACTAAATAGCTGTTTGCAAACAAAGACATGTGGAGGGTAACTGTGTGTGTGTGAAATGTGTCCTGCAGTTGTTAAGTCAGCTGAAGGGGAACCTAGAGGAAGAGAACCGGCATTTGCTGGATCAGATCCAGACCCTCATGCTGCAGAACCGGACCCTGCTGGAGCAGACCATGGAGAGCAAAGACCTGTTCCACGTCGAGCAGAGACAATACATGTGTGACATCACCATATTTCTAATTCACACCTCTTATTTTACCCTCGTTCTCTTTAATCTTCTAAAACTATTCACCTGTAAATTTGCATCACCTCCTGTGTGCTGATACACTACCATACTTCTCTCTGTCTCTCTCACACACACAGTGATAAACTCAATGAACTGAGGAGACAGAAAGAGAAGCTTGAGGAGAAGATTATGGATCAGTATAAATTTTATGACCCGTCACCTCCGCGAAGGTAAGCACGCCATCTCACGCACACCACTGGATGTGTTTGTAACACAGAATACACTGGAGAAACATCGTCCAGTCCAGTGCTTCCTGGATTGAGAATGTCTAAACTATGACTGAAGCTCTGTTCATTGTCCACCACTTGTTTGCTCATTTACTATTCCCATATAGTAAATGGTTTTATAGGGAGCGATTTCAGATTTCAGTGTTATTTTGCTGTTCGTTGGGCTGAATGAAGCCTGGGTTTTGTGCAGCATACACTAGTACACAGAGACAGGATAGCACAGAGTGGATTATTTGCACTACTCAAACAGTCTGCCCTTTAGAGCACAAACCACATCCAAACTGTCTATATTCAACACAGAATGCTACATATATGAAAGTGATATATAGAGAGGATCAGACATCTCAAACAGTTATAGCCTAAAAGTTATAAACAGCACTGACAAGAAGAAGAGATAACACAAGTGCCATGCACAAACATAACTTACACGCTTTTCAAACTGCACATCATCACCAGTGTTACTGGTATCCTGCCTTCTACCATATATACTGAATTAGCAAATCTTAATTTTGCAACCTTTTGAAAACAAAGCCCTTTAGCATTTCAGTTTTTGTGAAAGGTTGCTAAGGCCACGCTGTCCGCTCTGCGCTTATAGCAGCAAACTTTCACCTGAAGTGTTGCACAGATCTTATGCAGGATGTCTGCAAAGACCCTTTGAATGGTCTGCAGCCAAAACCTCTGCTTCATCAAAGGACTGGGCCGACCAGCTTGCTGGAGGTGGAAGCATGGAGCTGAAGAAACTAGCTCACATCTTTCTCCCTATTGCAGCTGTGGTTGATCTCCCTGATAAGGATGAAAGCAAGAAATGCAGGCTGATTTCTTCCATAACACAACTGGGATGAGGGAAGAGCTTGTTGTGACAGGGAATACCACTCTCCACAATGCTAGACATCAAGCAGCGCTAAGATTAGACAATACATAGCCGGCAGCTCTAGCCATGGCTAGTCTCTCGAGGCTATAAGTGCGATAGTTTTGCTCTATGCCCATAATATGCCAGACCTTTCTGGCTTTCCTGAAATTAATGAAGAATCTAAACTCTTTAGGAATCAAAGTGAACTTGAAAACGGTTCATTTACCCCCACACTGTCAGTAGTCTGTTCAATTCTGGGAATGGAGACACCCGTAGATGGTGCAACAGATCTGAGAGAGATGCAGCAGGCCTGACTTAGGTTTGCTTGGCCCATTAGACAACAAGCAATGTTCACTATTCTTGTCACCGAGGGAAAGAAACACCACTAGACCTGGATGCTATGGGATATCTGTGCACAGGGCTATGCCATATGTTTCCCTCACTCTGAGCAAGATCAGATGGAGTCAGAAGCAGACATCGAGGTCATGGACAGCAGAAGTAATGCGGGTGTTATACATCAGTCCATGGCATCTGCTCTCTCGTGTAGAACATACTGCACTCATACCCTCATAGTTGGAACTTCTGGGTGTGGCTCGTAAAAGGTTCAGTCCAAGTGTTATTTGGTTTCCTCTGAGTATGAGTAACATTGTTTGGAATCACTACAGTGGTTTCCACTAGGTCTTTCAACAACTTTGGAAGTGGAAGGTACAAGGAATCCAAATTTTGTTTATTTTGTGGGATTACTGCCCTCAAATGTGACCCAGTGACATCACAGGTGATTCTTGAATCCCATTTATATTTATGCATTTAACTGATGCTTTTATCTAAAGCAACTTGCATTGCATTCAGTTTTCTCAGTTCATGGTGTCATTGAGAACTGAACCTGTGACCTTGACATTGTTAGCACCGTGCTCTACTGTTTGGACTACACTACAGGAATGCTAACCAGCTAGCAAACAACTAGCTCCAGGGTACTTTAAAATGTTTAACATGCAGCCTGGGCAACTACTGCCCTTAGTACTCAACTCTTTAATTATAAAATGCATTTAGAGGCAAGCCAAAGACTACATTTGCTCCTCACTCCCCAATTCACCAGTTTGCCTACCACCGAAATAGAACTATAGATAACAACACCCATACTGCACTCCATCCTCTCTCACTTAAATTGCATGAAGGCAAACCATATTAGGTTGCTGTAAGTTGGTTACAGTTAAGCATTCAACTCTGTAATCTCCACCAGGCTTGTCTCCAAACTCCGGACATTAGGACTTTCTCCATCTGCCTGTGGGTCATCTTCGCTCATCCTAAACATTAGAGCTCCCCGGGAAATGCAAACTGATCAAATTTGCTGATGATATTGTAGTAGTAGACCTAATCATGGATATTGAAGGCCTGGAGGAGGTGTACAATCTGGCAGGGGGATGCTAAACAATCTAAACAAGCCAAATAATTAGGAAACTGATAGTGGAAGACTGGAGAGAAGTGTCTTATCAGTTTCTAAAGGGATACATGCATGCTAAGCACAGGCCTTTAATAGTGCAACTGAGAATTGCACTCCCATTAAAAGTACAACTCAAAAGATATTAAACTCACTAGTCTGCCTCAATAATGTGTTTCTAAAAGGCTTCATAAGCCAAAGTGCCTCGTAAAGACTGTTGGTGCCTATGGTTTCTACGATCTACTTGGGTTCACAGCGCTTTTTGAAAACGCAGCCCAGTTTGTTGCTGAACAATCCTGGCACATCCTAATGCCATTATGCAGATGCACTTTTATAAGCTGATTTAGTACATTCAGTGACAACCCACCCACACACCTGTGGGAATTTCATCATTTACACAGCGACTGCACTGGTCTTCTTTCCTTGTATAGCAAGTATAAAGCACTTGCATTGCATTGACTTCTTGGAGGCACGTCACTGAGCTGCATGCACCCTGAATGCCACCTCAGATTCATGCAGAATTTCTCCAGGCTTGTCTTACTCCCAAAGGGGATTAAACCGGGATTAGGTTGTTTGAGAGTAGAAATCCCTGTGTGTCATTTTCTTCTCTTCAGTTCTGCGGAGGAGAACAGATGGCACGGTTTATTCCCAGTGAGGCCATTGAGTGTGTGTTTAGATGGGACAGGCACAAAGCTTCAGATGAACAGCTTTTTGTGTTTGCAACAGCATGTCTCATAGAATAACACAGAAGTCTTCAGCCCTGCTCCTCGAGGTCCACTGTCCTGCAGAGTTTAGCTCCAACCCTGATCAAACTCACCTGAACTAGACAATCAAGGTCCTCAGGATCCATTGGAAAATGCAGGCAGATATGTTGAAGCAGGTTGGAAATAAACGTTGCAGGTGAGTGGGTCTCCAGGAGCATGGAAAAAGGTTGTATGGGCAGCAGCAGACTGGGCTTCTCTCCACAAGCTTATGAGGTTTGGCTGGATGCTACGAGGTTCTCTCTTGCACATGTAATGTTGGAGAGAAATTCCAGGTGTCCTTAATACTGACTAGTTGCCAGGTGACTGAACAAGTGGACACTGTCTATATCCCAGAGAAGTTGAGGTTATGACTAGGCTACAGCCCTGGTTCTCTTGGGGTGATAGAGGACATTTTCATCTTCTCGGAGGTGCTAATTATGAAAGTGGACCTGTGTCCGTGCAGTGGATTATGTAGGGAAGGGCCAGGTGTCATTGTGGATGAGCGCAGATGCCTCAGTCAGGCCACAGTTACAATACAGCCTGAAGTTATGTCATAGAGTTTAAAACCTCAGATCTGCAATGTCTGTGAGCATTTCATTCTCCTGATGTGTTGCAGTGTTTTGGGGTTTCTAATTATTGCATGAGATGCTTTACAGGACATGGGTCACATGATAAGTGTTGCTGTTTCTGCAGGAGGGGTAACTGGATCACACTGAAGATGAGGAAGCTCATCAAGCCAAAGAGTCGTGAGCGCATGCGCTCTGTCACACAGACTCCTCCCCGCTCCGAGTCCAGCGAAGGGTTCCTGACGCTGCCGCAGCCAGACAGTCAGGACAGCTCGTCCGTTGGCTCTGGATCCAACTCACTGGAGGACAATCTCACCCACCGCAGCGGCAGTGAGTATCGGCACACCTCCTGCTCCCTGCAGCGCTCTGACCTTCTTGCAGTTAACTCCGGAATCACTCCGACACGTTCAGCTAGTGACTGAACCCAATGGTTCGAGCTGATTCTTTCTTTGATTTCCACTGATTTTCTGAGTGAATCCAGCTCAGCTCAGAGGTGTGTGTCGGAGGCATGGTCCGGCTGCTCGTACACGTTGTGTGTTTAAAATTGGGGAATGTCACTCTTGATCCCATCCACCATCTTTTGTTTCCTGTCGTCAGTTATGTGCCCCCATGACTTTTTCAAAAGAATCATTTGTTTGTTAAAGGGGTCATGAACTGAGGTCCACTTATAATGTTATCATGATTTTTACATAAAAAAAAAAAACATAATTTAGCAGTAACAGACTATTTTCTGTCCTGTTTTGACCCCCCTCATCAGAACGCTCTGTTTGAATAGGCATGGAGGATTGTAGACTCGGAAGTAAACGCCCACTGCTGTGTTTGGCTAATAGGTGTGTATGATTGACAGTACATTCCTCACAGACGGACGCTGCAGTGATTGAGGTTAAAAACGCAATAGTGATCACGTAATGAAAACAGTTACTCACACTTGTGTTGCAACATTACTGTCAGATCCAATAGTCGCACAGCATCATGTTTTAGTTTCAATCTTTCTGAAAATCCCGTGTCGAATTGTGCCTTGTTTGTAAACTAATCCATGGTAAAATGAAGTGGACAAAGGACCGAGTTCTTGCTGACACAGTCTGGATCTTCATTAAGAATAAAATATATTCACTCTTTCCTAACGTTGGGATCAGAAGGAAGGCAACAATGTTTTTCCACAGCCTGGCACTGCACAGCGTCTTGTTGTCTTTGGAGCATCTTTATCGTTTGGTTTCTGCGTAGACCTGCGTGTTCTCCTCTCTCCTAAACACTAACTACAATATAGGGGTGCACGATAAATCACATGTGATAGTCAAGCGCATCTCGTCAGTAAAGCCGGTTCTGTGATTAGTAGTAAATCTCCATCACCTGCTTTCAGATGGAGCAGCATTTACTACACAGAGCCGTAGATCACTGACAAGCTACACAATATCACGATCATGATCACAGATGATATAGCACGATTATGAAAATGTTCTGCGATACTGACAGCTGTTTGCGTAGCTTGTCAGTGAACTACGGCTCTGTGTAGTAAATGCTGCTCCATCTGAAAGCACCACATTTAATAACATGTTTTTACTCCAAACTCACTTCATAACGTCAGTCGAGTGTTTGAAATAAATGCTTCTGTGAGATGATGTGGCTTCTTACACAGAATAAGACGCAACATATTTCATAGTATTCTAAGCAGTGATAAAGGCTATGTCGATTAGCATTGCATTATCATAACAAGAACTCAGATAAATGATATAGTTGTGTGTTTATTAGTCATGTTTAATCACTGAAAGCAGTTAAATCTTCTGTTTATTCAGCTAGTGCTATAGGGATTGCCTGGGTTTCTTCTGCGGGGTGTATTAGGAGTTTCTCTGGCCTTCAGATGGAGATTTACTGCTGATCACAGAACCCTGCTTCACTGACGAGATACACATGACTATCTATCACAGCTTCTGTCTAATCGTGATTGTGATTTCATTGTGATTTATCACGATTTATCATGCAGCCCTACTACAATACTAACAAGAAAGTTTTGAGTTCTGAAACTTACAGGATGTTTTTATAGTACAATTACCTTTTATATGTCAAAAGATCAAGGGACTTTTTGTTTCTCAGTTCATGACCCCTTTAATCGATCGTCACAATGACCAGTCAAACCGGTATTTGTGAAGTCAGCGCAACAGAAAGTTGTTAAATGTCCGTTTATTGTCTCCCAACAGAAAACAGCTCCGCTAGAGAATGATTTCAGCAAACACAAATATGAGATGTATGATCGTGCAGTTCTGGCCTGACATTCTCTCTTGTGTTTTCTTGCTTTCTTTGCCAAGGGAAGAAAGTTGAGAAAAGCCAAACGCAGGCTTCCTCTAACGGTATGCTGTCAGTCAGCCCATGAACACTCTGCATTTGTGTTCTTCTCTATTAAAAGGTGCAATGCAAACAACGTGTGTGTGAATGCAGTTCAGCGCTTGTTCATTCATCTGTGCGTGAGAACACAGCGAGAACATTCATTTGAGCAGCTCGGAGATGATCTGTGACTCTCTCCCGCATTGCACCCTTTAATACTGATGTCCTGATGGCATCAGACGGTGTGTGTTCATTTACCGTCCAGCTGAGTGATCATGTTAATGTACGAGCATCAGTTTGACAGGAAGGTGCGCTGGTAGTCATGCTAACATGCGTCTGTTCTCTCCTCCCGCTGTCTGTCCGGTGACAGCGCTGAAAAAGCTTCCGTTCATGAGGAACCGATCCAAGGAGAAAGACCAAGTGAAGGCCGTCTACCGCCGCTCTATGTGTAAGACATCTGCTCGTCCTCATCCATCACGCTCTTCTTCTGTCTGTGTCTCCTGCAGCGGCCGCTATCATCTATCACCATCAGTCACTTCACAGACCTGCACTGTCCTCGAGCTCTTGTGACCGTGACACACTTAATGTTCGTCTGTTCAGATGCATAACCCTAGTGAAAAATAAGTATACTAAAATGTATTTGAAATACATCTATTTCATGCAAAGTATACTACAAATACATTTACATATTATATACTTCATAAAAACGCCCTGCAGTTGTACTTTTAGTATACTAAACTGCTTTACTCAAAGTTTGTGCTTAATGCACTTTAATTGTGTGGAAGTGGTGCTGAGGTCCAACTAAAGATATACTGAAGTGTATTTGATTGAGCTAAAGTGGAACTACTACAAGTATACTTCGGGTACACTTTAAATATCTTGCATTTAAAGACTGATATTATTCAAAGATCATACAATCCTCATCAAAAGTGTCATTAAAACACATTTTAGGCTTAATATTAAGAAATGTGCATTCTGCACTAGTAGTACTCCAAATAAAGTTTAATTGATTTTTCGAGCGAAAGTCTCGAGCGATATGTCAGTAAATATGTTAATAGATTTGAACTGTACCTAGTGAACTGAATGTATTTTAAATATATTACTTTTTTACTAGAGATCAGTTAGATTCTCAAGGGTATGACGTCAGCCCAAGTCAGATCTGTTTGGAGAGTTCAGTGCCACACATCCTAGAAACTAGCAACCGTCCCACACAGTGAAGACAGTGAATGCATAGTTTGGGGACAGCATCTCACATATAATATGTCAGGGTTAGCTAGCACTGTGCCCTGCTAACACACTGTTGAACTGCACACTGCGTGCTGGACTTCCAGTATTAGTGTATTAGAAACAGAGTGTCTCCACAGACCTTATGCAGCTTTAATAGTATCATCAGTGAATCGTGAGCTTGTGTGAATGTCTTGTGTGTCCTGCATCATCTCTCTCCAGTAATCACTTGCATTCAGCCTTGCTGTCCTTCTTCATCTCTTTCTTTACTCCTGTGTTCACTCATATCGACCGCGTGCGTCTGGCAGGCCTTCAGCGTGTTAATGCAGAGTGTGTGTGTGTGTGTGTGTGTCAGCCATGAACGACCTGCTGCAGACGATGGCTGTGTCCGAGGTTCAGTGGTCCAGCAGCACGGATCATCTCGAAGCTCAGCACGGGAAGGAGTTTGGATCCATGGACTCCGCCGGCCTGAGCCTGAGCCTGAGTCGCGGCCCCAGCGCTCGCCACCGCTCCGACACAGGTCTGTGTTTACTGCTGCACACCTCCGCTTCTGCTCTAAACTATAGGGAGCTCTCTTAAATTGCTATAAGGTTACAATTAACAACAGAGCCCACACTTAAATTCAATTACTATTTATTTTTAACTATAATAATCAACACTCAAATTAAAAATTTGCATGCAAACATGTAAATTGCACATAATGCAGTTTTTAAATTAACTTCTAAATTATACAGTTTCTATTTGCTGTTGAAATATATTCATTTGTTTGATAAAAGATTTATTTAAACATACATGAAATAATTTAGACATCACTAACAGGTAAAGTCAAATATAGTGAGTATATAGTCTAATATTTCTCAAAATGCTCTTCACTAGACTTCATTCCTCTAGCAAATAACGAGCTGTGCACACTGATGACTTGCCTGAGGTGAATGAAATGCTGCGTGACGTTTTGCTTACAAGCGGTTTTATTGACGTATTTCCGCAATTGAAATTGATTGAGTGATTACGTGAGGCATGATTTGTTCATTCATGTTTATTTCGTGTTAAAGCTAGTAGTAAAGATGAAGGGATGATCACGCTGCCGTCAGAACTGAGGTGTTTATACAGCGATCTGTCGCGCCGCATCAAAGCAGCATTTATTGTCTGAACTCCCTGAGAAAATGGAATGATTTGCACCGAACTGAAAGACCCGTACTGAAGGTTTTCGGTTCGAATGTGTGTACCGTTACACCCCTAGAGCAAACAGAAGCGAGTGTTGGTGTTTGTCATGTGTGTGTTGCAGGTGCAGCCGTGTCCAGTGAAGACGTCATGCAGCTGTCGGAGCAGGAGCGAGCTCAGGGTGAGTGACCGCTCCTCCAGCACAGCGTCTGTCTGCTCCATCTGCTGATCTCCTGCTGCTCGACTGATCCCGCTCCAGCTCACAGAGCCTGCATGCTGCATCACTCAGACGGCTGTCTCATTAACGCCTTGTGCATGAACTCATGAACTCATTACATGGACTAAATCTTCTTTGTGATCCTAGGATCCCAGGCAGCTAAAATGTTCATGACAAAAATGTGCAATAATACATTGCACTCTAGTCACTGTTGGCAACGATTGGGAAACTGTGTGCACATCCATGTGTTTGATCAGATATGATGAGATTATGCACCAGTGTTTCCGTGAGCCGTGATGTCTGATTCACAAACTCTTACACACCCGTTCTTTTTAAGGAGTCAGTTGAAACGATTCATGAAGCAGCCTCAAACATGCTTTTAAGTAATAGTGAATCAGTCAGTGAATCATTCAGATCCACTACTGAGTCACTGATTTGTTATTCATATTATGATGTGCAATTAAAATGACATGTGCCCTGTCCAAATACCCACCCTTGCGGTCTCGGCCGCTTGAGAGCGCGTCCACGACACCGGAATAAGACTGTCCCAGGTCTTAAAAACGCCAAAGTGCAGTGCCCTTAATGCACACTAAATCCATGCCATCTCGAATACTGCTCCGGATCAGTGTATCCCATCATGCACCATGTTGTGGAAATAAATCGTGAGACTTTGTGAGATGTTGTGAGAGGTCACAGAAACCTTTCCAATGCAAGTTAAATATTAATAATAATTAGATATTACATATAATTTGGTAGTAAAACAAAGTGTTGCACATTTTGTTGATGCAAAGATGAGTATATTTATTTTGTACAACATTTTCAACCGCTTTTTATCAAATTAGAAGCACCACTAATTAAACTGCCATCTGTTATAGAACAGATATTGAGAAGTTTATTTTAAAATGCAAAGTGTTGAAAATAAAAATTAAGTGTTGAAGTAGTCAAAGACCGCAAGTGTGTGGGTATTTGGACAGGGCAATAGTTTTGGTTTTTCCAGACGTGCAGGAATATTCATAGAGAAGAGTGATGTTTAAATGCAGAGATGCAGTCAGGATTGAGGAGGTTTGTGCTGGTGTGTGTTGCGCAGGTGTGATGAACGGCAGTGCGAGTCGGCCTCGCAGCGAGAGCAGTGACGTCAGTGTGAGTCGGGACAGTCCCGCCGGCCAGACCTCAGCGCAACACAGCGCTCTGGAGGGCAAACGCAGGGCCAAGTCTGCAGGAAGTGAGGTGGTTTCCCTGCAGCAGTTCCTGGAGGAGAGCACAGAGCCAGCAGAGGTGATGCTCACATACACACCTCTTCATGAAGTCAGCCAAGAGCCCAATCATCCAGCATTACCAGCGTTTATAAGCAGCAGACAGAGTCATGTGTCTGTGACCGACTGTATGGCTGGTGATTGGAGTCACTGTTTATATTAAAGCAAAATGAACTGATGATTTCACGGGCCTAAACTCAACTCGCAAACACTACCAATGAAAGGTTCGGGGTCAGTGAGATGTTTCAAAGGATTATTAGTTCACTTTCGTGATCATTTACTCACCTCCATGTCATCCAAGATGTTCTTTTTTCTTTAAAAGAAATTACGTTTTTTGAGGAAAACATTCCAGGGTTTTTCTCCATATAGTGGACTTCAATGGGGATCAGCGGGTTGAAGGTCCAAACTGCAGTTTCAGTGCAGCTTCAAAGAGCTCTACTCGATCCCAGCCGAGGAATAAGGGTCTTATCTAGCCAAACAATCTGTCATTTTCTAAGAAAAATTAAAATGATGTGATGCAGTAGTTGTGCTGATGATAGTCACATGTAAACAGACATTTAGTGCTCAATCCAGCATGTAAGGGTGCGTTCACACTTGTAGTTCGCTTCTCTTGGTTTGTTCGGTCCGGACCAAAAAAGAAAATAATACATTTGGTCCTGGTCCCGCTTGGCGTTCACACTGGCATTTTTGATAGTGAACCTAAAGGCATAGTTCTACATTCACAACCTGGTTGGTCGGGCTGAATGATGTATATTTCGTGACAGAACTCACCGAACACCCCAAACAATAGGTGTGTTCAACTAAAGGCGGCGCTGTGGGTGTATGCTGTCTGCTGGATTAAGCACGCTCATTGTTGCGTGTACAGGATTTTATTTTTACCACCTGTGAACTCACAAAGAGCTCATAAAAGGCACTTTACATCCTCGTTGCTCCACGTTTGCCTTCTAATTTTGTTTTATATACAAAGCTCATTCCTCGTCATCAAATCATGTCGCATATCATCACATCTTGTCATCGCATCATTCATTTGGAAGCATTTGGTCCGTGTTGTGCTCATGTTTCATTTGAACCTCACCAGAGTTCGTTTGGATGCGGACCAAGACCAAGAGCCGTGTCTTTATTAGGTAATATTGGAAAGGTCACACGTGACGTAGGCGGAAGTACCGACCCAGTGTTTATAAAACTAACAAATGCCCTTTACAGAAAATGGTAAAACAATGACATTGGATGATTTTAAAGTTGGAGGAGAAAATGAGATGGAGTTTTTAAACGAAGTACAAAGATGAAGAACTAACCGCGTGTGACCTTTCCAACAGGATTATGTAATGTGTGATGACGCGCATCGCAGAGCTAATGCAAGCCCAGCATTTGTGGTTAAAAGTGTATAAAAAAATTTTTTTCAGTAAAAGACCAATCGTTTCGCTAGATAAGACCCTTATTCCTGAGCTGGGATCGTTGGACCCTTTGAAGCTGCATTGAAACTGCATTTTTCAAGAAAAATCCTGGAATGTTTTCCTCAAAAAACTTAATTTCTTTGTGACTGAAGAAAGACATGAACATCTTGGATGATATGGGAGTGAGTAAATTATCAGGACATTTTTATTCTGAAAGTGAACTTATCCTTTAATGAGACAGACAGCCTATAGGCTATTAAGACATATCTAATATAATGTTACACATCCAGTGTTTTTCCCCAACAGTTCCGCAAATGTTCACTTAATATATAATTATGTTTGTGTGAATACTTAAATGTATGTAGTCTACTGTAAATCTGTGTATATGTGAATCGGGATAGAGCGCCACCGGTGTCGTCTTTATGAGCGCACTTCAGATGACAATCAGCGTGAACTCATTTTTGTGAAAACCTCAAATTCCACATTTGTAATTTTTTTTGCGTGTAGCTCAAAATTAGCCCATGTGCATTCACACTCATTTTGCCAGCATGGCTTACATTAGGGCTGGGCAAATAATCGAATGTGATAGTCATGCGCATCTCATCAGTAAAGCGGTTCTGTGATCAGTAGTAAATCTCCATCACGTGCTTTCAGATGGAGCAGCATTTACTACACAGAGCCGTAGTTCACTGACAAGCTACACAAAACCACATTCATAATCGGCAATGAATCGCCTGCGATAATGAACGCCATATTGCGTAGCTTGTCAGTGAACTACGGCTCTATGTAGTAAATGCTGCTCCATCTGAAAGCACGTGATGGAGATTTACTACTAATCACAGAACCGGTTTTACTGACGAGATGCACATGACAATCGCATTCGATTATTTGCCCAGCCCTAGCTTACATATGTAAACAGACACTTGTCATAGGTGCAAACGCCTCACCTTTTAGTGACAACGCACTTTTTTGAGATCAAAATAGGTCACCTATGAGATTGGCTTAGAT